GTATGAGTTAAAAGTTAATTGTTGAGAAGAAACATCTTTTTGTTATGTTCTTCAACAATATCTGGTGCCTTAAACCTGAGATGTGGGATAAAATTTCAGTAGCAAAGGTTTCTTGTTCCACATTCTAAATGAAGGCAAACTTAAAATGGGTAAAGTGGACAGCGGTTATATAATTTTAGATGCTTCTCCTGATCTAATGGCACAGGGGTTATTCAACCCCAACTGCCAACTTGTGGAGGAAGTTGGTTTTCCAAAATTATACATGTTTAAATATCTAAAAAGTTGATTTTATTTTGGTCAAAGTTCTAAAGTGTTGAATGCTGTAGTCAAATTTTCACCAAAATGCCTATTAAGAAAATGACAAAACGATCCTTCACCACAGAGATGGATCGGAGCATCAAGCGGATGTTGAAGCTGATTGAAGAGGATGGGGATTCATTTGCGAAAAAAGCCGAAATGTATTATCAAAAGAGGCCTGAATTGATTGCTCATGTTGAAGAATTTTATCGCTTGTACCGGTCCCTGGCTGAACGCTATGATCACGTGACAGGAGAGCTGCGGAAGAATGTGACCTTGGATCTCCAATCGCAGAGTTCATGCCTTTCTGACATTGGTTCAGAACTGCCATCTGCATGGCCGTCTCCTGACATCCAACCCCAAAGGCTCGGTCGTCGGAGATCTGGCCCTCGTGCTGCTGGCTTTGATTTCTTCCTTGGCCCTGGTGTAAGCAGCTTGGATAATTACCAGAAAGAGGGAGACGAATCATCTTCATTAACCGATTCCGAGCCAGAATCTGATGATTCTTCAGTCAATAATTATTCAACTCCATTAGGAAATGGTGGTGATCAAGGGCATTTGAGAAAGATAATTGAATTGGAAATTGACCTTCGTGAAGTGAAGGAGAAGCTCCGGATGCAACAGGAAGATAATGCAGATAGTTCATTCACGGGGTCAAAAACTGATCATTCTGAAGGATTTTCTGCAAAAATTGCAGAATATGAGCAAGAGCTGACAACTGCAAATGAAAAATTACGGAACTCAGAAGAAGAGATTGCCAGGTTGAACATCAAGCTCAAAAGGTACGAGTCCTCAGAACTTAATAATGGTTTTGATGCTGCACTTGAAACATCAAAACAGAAAGAGGCCAAGAGGGATGAGGGTGAGCAAGACATGGAGATAAATGAAACACCAGAGGTTCATAAAAGTGTTGGTGGGCCGGAAGAAGTTCAAGACTCAGATAGCAAGATGGAGGCATTGATGAAAGAGCTTAAAATCACAAAAGATAGACTTCAGATATCAGAGAAAGAGATTGCAAGTTTGAGACATCAACTTGAGAGTAATAAAGCCTCTGAGGAAATCCAGAGGTTGCAAGGCCAGCTTGAATCCGCTAACAAGGATATTTCCTTGTGGAGAGCAAAGCTCAACACAGAGAAAAGAGAGGTGTCCAAGCTGCAGGAACGAATTACAAGGTTAAAAAGTAGTTTATCAGACCGGGATCATGAGGTCATGGATTTGAAAATAGCAGTATCTGATGCTGAGGAGAAGATTTTCCCAGAAAAGTCACAGGTTAAGGCTGAAATATCCCGATTGCTATCAGAACGGACACACTTAGAGGACCAGCTTAGAGACTGGGAATCTCGTGGCCGGTTGTTGGAGGATGAAATCAGACAGATGAAGGCTGGAAAAACAGAAATGGAGGAGAGACTTAATGGCAAAATCGAGCAGTTAAAGGAAGACATACTTGAGAGAAGCAATCAAATGGAGAATTTAAACAAGACCCTTGATGCTATGAAAATAGAAAGAGATGAGCTTAGTACCAAAGTAGTAACACTTAAAGCAGAGGCGAGTTCTCGAGATGATCAGATCAATGAGATGGACAAGAATTTGCAGCAAATACAGACAGAACATCAAGAACTGCTCGACGGGGCTGAAGGGGCACGTAAACTGGTGGAGGCGCTGACAGCAAGAGCGAAAGAACTCGAGGAGGAGATTCAGAGGCAAAGAGTTACGATTATGGAAGGAGCAGAAGAAAAAAGAGAAGCTATAAGGCAGCTGTGCTTCTCGCTCGAACATTATAGAAACGGATACCATATGCTCCGACAGGCTTGCATGGGGAACAAGCAGCGAGTTCCAGTTTTGGCATCTTAAGCTAGATATAAATTATGTGATCATAGTTTGTAAAATACATGTTTTTTGAGTGCCTGTTTCTCTATGTAGGTTGGAAATTAAATCCCCCAGCCTAGTGTTGTGCTGTAGACCATGCTCTCATGGTTGTATTGATGTGCGGTTTGTGTAGAGTACGCATATATAGATGCAGGAGGGTCCTATCTAAGGGCCATTTGAGTCACTGGCTTGCCCCCAAAAGTTGGGTGGAGAGAGAGGGCAAAAAAGTATGTGAGTTTGGTGTTTGGTTTTTTGGGTTGGATTGGCACAGTTGAACTGTGTGTTCTGCAAACTTTTTTTGACACATATTCCAAAGTGTTGCTCATTCAAAATGTTGGCCTTCATTAACTATTGCCATTTAGCGAAGTGAAAATAAAAAAAGAAAGACATTTACGCGCCAGGAAGGGGTCGAACCTTCGACTTTCTGCTTAGGAAACAGACGCTCTATCCACTGAGCTACAGGCGCTTGTTGTTGTATATAAACCTAAAATTATTTAAATATGCTTCTATTGCCTATTTTGAGGATAATGTCACACTTTCCGAGGCAAGAGAGAAAATGTTCAGATATTCCTGATATTCTTATATATATAGAAAACTAGAAAATCAAATAATCCCACAAAGATTCTTTTGTGTATTTCCCATGAGGAAAACTAATATATTTTCTTCTCTTTCCTTCGTTTAGAAATGAAATTTAAAAAAATAGTGAAAATATGTGCAAACATTTCTCCTTAATGCCAACAAAATATCCAAGGGTATGTCTGTAAAGGAAGTTGAGTTCAAAGTATACAAGACATCATAATTTAGTCACATGTTTTTCTCCATTTTGTTTACATGACTAGGGTTAGAAAATCATGTTTATACCCACACTAAAATGTAAAAGACTGTAGAAAACAATATGATTCTCTTATAATATTTCTTCTATATATTTCCGTTTAAATTCTAATTCTACTCTCCATCTCATGTGGGAGAAAAACTTAGTTGCAACGGGGATAACAATATTTTGCTAACCACGTAGAAATGTTATCACGTGTGTCATAGCGTTATTGACCGGGAATAGCAAAATAGTGCTATTCCCATCTCATGAAAATCCTTCTCCTCGTGTGGATCTCTTTGGTAGTCTTTCTACCACCAAAGAGCTGAACCCAGGAAATTCAACATAAATTGAAAGCACATTTGAGTCAAATAATACTATGATAAAGCTGGTATATCTCATTTCAAGATAATTAACCAAACCCAAATCAATAACACACGATGGGATAAGTTGAAAGTGAAAAATCTCCCATGAAACCTTCCAAGACTTCACACCAAAATTAACACCTTCGATTTTTCATAGAGTTCTAGCTGGTTTGAACAAGCTGTAGAAATCTTGAGCACAATGATGTGATGAAATTGAAGAGCTAAACTGGAACTTGCATTAATATCACAAGGCAAATGGCAAAGAAAATGTTTCAACAAAACAGATTCATAATCTATTCTGTTAGCTTACAAAACAAGCAATTATTGAAACAGATGGAAATTAGAATGTCCTTAAATTGAAGATGAAAAATGCTTATGTTGTGTGAATCCTCTCCAGATCCAGCTTCTTCATATTACTGGCCTTCATTTGCCACAGGCTTCTCCAAAAATGTCTTCTTTATCCAATCAAATGGCTGTTTCATGTTTTGTATGAAGAAAAAGGAAAACATTAGAATCATACAATAAAATACAGCAGCTTTCAACTATTTCTTCATTTCCGCATAATTTTTACTTCAATTTTTCATATTTATTGCAATCAATCAAACTATGGCTTATTGAAAAAAAAATTGATAAATAATTACAGGGATGATAAAATCTGAAGTAAAAACTGAAAGAGAAAGGGGGAACCTGGATGAACCAAAGAGCGCCGGTGCCGGCGGCGACGCCCCACATAGCGACCGCTTTTACATCGGAGGATTGAGGCCTCGGAAGCTTCGAGAAACGTGACGATGCCGCTGCGATTCCCCCTGCCATTTTCAGATCTCAATTTGCAAAAACGCAGAGAGCTCAAAACCTCAACCCTATCAAGTCAATAGCAACTTTGACTTTCAACAAAATTTGGCCGCTGCGTTTGAGGTCACTTTGACTTTTATTGGGAGTGTCTTAACGCAACTCTCGTTTATTTCGTTTCTCAAATATAAAATTGCACATCTTTTTTCTCTTTCTTTTCTTTTTCTTACTTTTTTGCTTTCTCTTTCAGTTAGGAAATTACAAGAACAAAATTTTAAAAATATTATAAACCAACCAGAATGTTAAATTCTCTTTTGTGATTATGGAGTATAATCACAAATTGGCAATCAAGAAACGCAGCTGTTTCCGTTTATGTGGGTCATTGTAAAAGGTATGATGTTTGGTTCCAACGGATTTTTCAATTAAATTGGACAAGTGTCATGATTATTATTTGGTTAACTTTTAAATATTGAGACCTAAGCTAAGAGGGTCTAACCCAATAGATAAAAGGTCTTGACTTGCAAACTAATGGTCTCAAGTTCGCACCCTTGTGGCACCACTCCAACATATTGTCTTACAAGTTTCGTTTAATGGGGTGACTCATAAGGACGGGTGGACCCAATTAAAATCAAGCCAAGCCGAGCCACCACACTAGAGGATTTTGCAACTTAAGTTGGTCCCTTTTCTTCTTCTTTTGCCTGAAACATTGAGTTTGGTCTTACAATGGCATTTGATGCTTGACCTTAGAACTGACATTTTCTGAACATACGTCTGGGTCTAAAAGCATCATTGCAAAACCAAGGCATCTCGAATTTGCAAATTATTGTTGCAGGCAGACACATGTTGCACCTGTGAATGTTAGGCACAGGATAGGAGTAAAACAGTGTCAAGTTATATATGTCTTTCGGAAGCCATTATCAGTCCAAAGTATTTCATTCCACTACAAACTTCTCAAGTCAACTTCATTTTTAAGATGTACAATGCAAAACCTATGAGCCAACCCTAAGCATCAAACCTTTAGTCCTTGGTACAGATTCTAGGTACGTTAACGATATAAAACGACAGATCTGATTACTGAAAAGTGGACAACTTACAAGGAACTAATTGTATTCAACACCTTTGCAGTCCAAGCCTCAAGTCAGAAGTAACATGCCTATAGAAGAACTTTACCAAACTTGCAAGAAAAGCATGCATAAACAGCACAGGCACATTTACAGCTGACACAGGCCACAAGGTGCGGGTGGGACAGAGGAAGGGTGAGAGAGAGGTGGGGGACTTCTACTCTGGCTTCCACACAGCGTACATCTTACCAACCTCAAGCTCTTGACGCCCCAAGCACAACTCGCTGCTTGTAATTAAAGACGCACTGAAGGTCATTAGTCGTCCCAAGCACTATCTGCAGCACCTTCTCTTTTACTGTTGGAATCAGCAATCATGAACCTATACTTGTCCTCAATGTTTACGGATGTGGGTCCCGTTATTGAGCACTTTGATAGAGCAACCCTAGCTTGCTTTTGAGCAGCTGCTGCTTCTCTCTCTTTCCTTCTTGCAGTCTGATAGTTAATAGCAGAAATTGTCAAGGTTTACAAATGCATGAAATAAATTTCTCTTCTTTCTCCCAAGATTATCTAGAAATGATCAAGAAAGGCTAGGCGCTAGTACGACGCCAAAGAATTGACCGCTCATAGGTTATCTAAGAATCTGTACCTTCCCAGTTGCAAAAGCCACAGCATTTCCAGATCCAACATCTGCAATTGCTTTCTTTATATTTGCCACAAGGAACTACAGTGTGCCATCAAGAATCAAGAATGAAGAGTTATATTCTGCCAATGCAAGAGATCATAAGTAAAAGCAGCAGTAAGAGAAGGTGGAAAATAAGGTACCATATCACGATCAGTGTAAAAGGAAGTAGCTTGTCCCATTGATCCTGCTCTTCCCGTCCTTCCAATCCGGTGTACATAATCTTCCATGCTCTATATTGAGGTAGCCATAACTGAAGCTTCAGGTTTGCTATTTCACAACAAAATTAATAGCAACTGAAAAGACCAAGCTAATGAGATGCTATCACATGATAGCAGAAAGACTTAATGATCATAGTTGAGATTGATTTTATGCTATTCAAATTCCAAAGATCACCACCTATTAGATCACCTATTCCAAACATCACAAGTTGACTCATTCAGAAGAATTGCCAAATTTATTGCCATTTTTCAGATAATCTTCTAAGTTGGATAAGTGGCTTCCAGATATAACCCAACCAACAGGCCTTTTAATTGCAACCAGGTATACCTTTGGAAGATCCAAATTGATAACATGAGCAACTCCTGAGACATCCAAACCACGAGATGCAACATCAGTGGCAACCTGCACACAAGGCCTCAATAAGGTACATGGATGGCTGATTTTAAAAGCTTCCTTATATTCAAGCAGAATCAGACAAGTATAAACAGACAAAAAGAAAATGTGAAATCAATAGAGGACAAGTAGCATCAATTCTCTCTAGCAACATTGAGGATGTACCAAAATATTGGTAGTGCCTTTTCTAAATTCACGTAGAGCAGCCTCTCTTTCACCCTGAGTACGACCACCATGAAGAGCAACTGCATGCAACCCTTGTGCTACCAAGGCATCAGCAACTTCGTCACATCTTGTCTGCATGCACACCCAAAGTCAGAATCCAGTGTTAAATTTCATGAATAAGCCATACAACATTAATCATCAAAGCCTTTGTCTGAGAAAATAGATAGTAAGGAGAGAAAATTAAGTCACACCAGATTGAAAAGTATTTTTGCCCCATAGCAAGCATATAAAGCATTCTGATGGCAACATGCACTCAGAAGTAGGAAAGAGTTCGCATTAAATTTGTATCAATGTACAAAGGCTTCACAATTCAAGCTTTTAAGAAAAACAGTTCATCACCAAGCCCTAATTTAAACTTCTTTCCGTTATTCAGTACACTACAAAATGTATGCTCACAATATTGGAATGCATATGCATTGTTAGGCATGATGCTCACCTTTAAACCAAATCATAAATGAGTGAGTTGTCCACAAGTATAGATATTAAGAGGAGATGCAGGCAAACTTGTCCATCAACATTTATACCCATGACACTTTTAATTATAAGGTTGAAATGATGACAGTCATAATCAAGTGAAGATACGATATGGAGCAAAATGTACCTTCCTTTCAACAAATACGATAGTTAAGGGAAAGGGATGGCCAGCTCTTTCAACCCGAGATGCCTCCTCTACGAGCAAAGCCAAAAGCCTATCAGTCTACACAGACAAAGCAGTATTATTGAGTTAAAAACAGGCCAACAACTCTCCCGGTTAAAGGGTCAGACGCATTTCAAAATACATACGTAAGCAAAAGATAAGCTGAGGAATATGCTTGTCAAAGATAATAAGATCAGTATCAAGCACATAAAATACACAGGGAACAGAGATTTCCAACCAAGTAATACATAGAACAACTCTCCACACCACACATCTAACATAAAATTTTCAGTACAAATGCAAATCAGACAAAAAGTGACTGAACAATAAGTGGAGTTCAAAAGCAAACATAATCCACAGAAACACCATCCCCACCCTCAAACGAAAGAAAAAGAAATTAAATTAAATTCTCAAACATTGCAAAGAAAAATTAAAGAGAAATCAACAATGATTGTTCTGGGTGAACCAACCTTCTCACTCTCAGAAACCTTCTCCAAAGTCTGAGTTACATTTGCTGTGGGGCTACTCACTTTTCCCACCTTCACTTGCACTGGGTTAGTTAAGTATTCCTGAAATTGGACAACAGAAGCTAGAATAAGTGTTTTTCTGAAAGTCGAGAGAGACAGAGACAGAGAGAGAGAGAGAGAGAGCACAATGATCTTAATGTTATTCTAATAATTAGATTTTGTATATTGGAAAATGACAAACTAAAAGTTCATTCCAAACTTGGGATAAAATTACTCTGCTGTAAAGGTAAGAATGCATTAGTGGCTATTGATACGGTCAAGACTGCATGGTTTTAGTATCTCCTCTAACAAGTAACGTGATAAATAGGTCTAAATACCTATCTGCATGTTGCAAAGCAACAAATAATATGAAGTTACCATCAAACAAAGGGATGATGTCTCCTGTGTCTCTCAGTAAAGACATAAAATTCTCAGAAACTTAAAAGATACAGGACAAAATTTGCCGTAGAAACATAAGATTGTAAAATGAGAAGGTTGATTTGATTAGACAAATGAACCACAATGACACTTTTCTCTTATTCTGTTTACATTGAACTATGCTTTAGACTTATTGAATAATAAACAACAACAAAATTTATCATGTATCATATTATTAAAATTAGGAAATCACAAATATAGCCAGCTTGATCAATCCATTATATGCACATTGGCACAAGATTTGTAATACTATCAGATGGTGTTTAAATTTCAAGGGCAGGGAGGGAATTTGCGTGATTGGTAACTTATTACAAAAATAAATCCAGCCATAGATTGCATTTCCAAAAAAACATTAAGTTGTATAACACATAAAAGCTAGTTTAATAAGGTAACTTAGTGGAAAACCTTACCTGGGCTAATTCTTCGATCTCTTCAGGCATAGTTGCACTAAATAGCAAAGTTTGGTGCTTTTCAGAAAGGTTCCGCATCACCTAAAAGAGCATCAAAAGAGATGTGACATATCCTTCCAGAAGTAAACAAGGAATCAGATGATTATATTATGTGTTCTAATATATGTATCAGATAACTCCTTTCAGTGTTACAGAAATGCTTGCAAATAACGGGTTTAGGAGTCAAACAATGATTTGAACATTGAAAATGCTTTACAAGGTTCAGAAATATAGAAGGGACAGAAAGTTGTACAAAACCTAAACTTTATTCAAAACGGAACCTAAAAGTGAGGTGAACATCATGTATAAGTCCCCCAGGACGTTCTATATGTCACCTTGAATTTGTGATTCCACTTGGTTTCCTCCAACTGTAGGCTTTTTTCCAAGGAATATTTTCTCCATTTCTATGTTCCCTTTCATTGTTGCCCTATTCTTTATAAAGTTTCATTTCTCAAAAATAGGCATTCACGTTGAGCCTGATACTTGATGCTATATGTTTGGAAATTATAAATGAAAGGAACAATCATGGAAGCATTGGAAGGAAGAAACGGTTGGACACAAAAACTTTGGCTCAAGAACTTAAAAACGCAGGCCAAAACAAGCCATGGGGACGATGGTATGACATAATTTCAAAAGCAAAAGGCAAAAAGATTCTTTTTTTCAGACACAATCACATCAAAGGGTGAGACAAAATATACCTCTCTTATCTGTGGTTCAAAACCCATGTCAAGCATCCTGTCAGCCTCATCCAGAACAACAAATGAAATTCTAGTGACGGAAGTATTCCCTTGTTGTAAATGATCTATAAATCGTCCAGGAGTAGCAACCACCACATCAACTCCTGCTCGTAGCTCAGACCTCTGTCATTTCATCCAGTAGCAAAGCCACAACCAAACAAGTATTAGCAAAAACTAACAGGAAATAATATATTCCGTAGAATGCTATAAAAGTTCAGAAAATCATTGCACTAAAGGAATATCTCACTCTTACTACATGAGAAACAAGGGAGCTATGGGTTAAGTGTTTGATTTTTTAACCACGGGTAAGAGAGCGGGGGAGGAGGGCATTAGGCAGAAACAAATGTTCACAAAAACTATAATACCAGAGAAGCAATAATTCAGAATCCTAGCCCACACCAACCTAGGCAATAACACAGGATAAGAAATAATGAATTTTCTACGAAGATTAAAACAATTATTTGAATAGTAAAATGTGAAATTATTGAGCCAAATCAATCACCTGCTCAGCTATGTTGGTTCCACCCACAACTATGGCAGTTCTGAAGGACTCAAGAGATTTACTAAAAGCTTTGACCTGTAAAAACACAATCATAACTTAGCACCAAAGGAAAAGTATTACGAAACAAATTCCAAGCCAACAAAAAAAATACTTGTGATCACAATGTTAACGTTTGCAGCCTAAGCACAGGTATCGTACCTCTTTTTCTATTTGTTGGGCAAGCTCTCTAGTCGGGGCCAATACCAAAGCTAGTGGTCCATCACCACGTTGAACAGGAGGTTGAGCCAAGCAATGCTACACATTGAAATTTAAAATTAAAACCTTAAGTAAAACAAACCCACTTAGCAGGCATAACGTGCAGACTGCATAAGAACATCAAATAACGCAGCCTCGGACCTGTATCATTGGGATGGCAAATGCAGCCGTTTTCCCGCTGCCAGTTTCAGCACAACCTAATAGGTCCCTCCCACTGAGGGCAACTGGCATGGCTTGAGCCTGAATGGATGTTGGCGTGGTGTATCCATGGTATGCAATATCTTTCATGATGCTAGGGTGCAAACACTGAGAAAAGCGAATCCAAATGGTTTTGTTACACCGTAGAGAAACAAAATACGCTAGTAAAAATAGAAGAAAAAAATCCAATTTTGATAAGACACAAATATGATTCACCATATCTGCAAATGACTCAATCGGTGCTGGAGCAGGAGCAGAGTCCGGACTAACAGAAACATCCAAATTAAGCCGCAAACAAACCTCTTCAATCTGCAGGCATGTATAATTTTGTAAATAGACTGATAACATTAATAAAACATAAATGTCATTGAAAATATGAGATTAGCTGTAGGAAGAACCCTAAGTAAACGAATTGAAATACAAGGCCAAGAATTTCAAAAATTCCCAAAATGCAATTGAAAACTGGTGAAGCGTCGAACCAGTTCAGGCTTCATGCGGAGGACGCGTTCGGAGGGCTTCCACTGAGGGACGACGGTGTCGGGCCGTGCGAGAGCTCTGTTGGCGGTGGAGATAGCGCCGGAGCTCCAGCGGGAGGCATTGGAGTGCGAGAAGCTGGAGAAGGAAGCAGCGGACGACTTGTCGTTGTTGAAGTGAGAGTTGGAGGAGGGGTACGAGAGCTTGGTCTGATCGTCTAGGGTTACAGATGAGGTTTCTGTGGTGGTGGTGGTTGTGGTGGTCGTTGAGCTTGACCTTAGGTGTGGAGGCACATACGACATCGTTTAGCTTTCGCGAAAGGTTTCTCAGAATCGGCGAGAGTTTGATTTATGCGACGACTGTAAGTGGAGTGAGTGAGTGTTAAAAAAAAACAGTTTGAGAAAAAGGAGAGGTTCGTGCGTGCTTTGGCCAACCAATCTATCTCTCCAGTCCAGTCTTTGTTTTCAAACTCTCGCTAACTTGCGCCTGTCCGGGATTATGGGCCCACTTTGCGGGCTTACATTTTGGTGGATGTTTTTGGGGCAATAAGACAAGGTCGTTTCAACTCTCTCTCTGGCCCAATATATATTGTAGTAGGCCCTGTGCCTACCCTGTTATCGATTACACTTTTACCAAACTTAATCGGAATGAGCGTGTAAAAATATGAGCATTGGAGTCGTAATCCATGAAATTGGTTTTGAAGAAAAATGGACTAATAATAATTATAATATTAACATTAATAATTGGTGATGTCGATGATGTTGGAAATATACGTGGTTGACATATAGGTGACGTGTACGATTTTGGTGTTTAGAAAAGTTAAAGTGGAGAATGGTGGGAAGTGCTAGTAGCCCGTGAAAAAGGAAAAGGGCTTGGTGGCGACTTTGTTGGAATGTGGGTTGTGCCATTCGTTCAACAAATCATTTTCAACGGGAGTAGGTGAGAACCTTGGAACTGATCCTCAAAAAGTCGGCAGCATGTATCTATCTTTCTTTTCTGTCTTCCAATTTAATATTTACTTTCTCCCAATTTTTTATATTAAGCTTTTGTCTTTTAAATTTCTTTTAAGGTAGAACTAAACTTATATACGATACACGAATGTTAAGACTCGAATTCTTAACTTTTTATGGAAAATCAATTGTTTTAAACCACTACATTAGTAAATCCTCTGCACACGCATTTTGTATTTATTTTAGATCTATAAGCAATCCTTCTAAAGCCTTGCCGTCATCTAGATATCCCTCCTAATATATAATCCATCACACGCAACTTATATAATATAAAGTGATTATGACATGATGAAATCACTCTTTATCTTATTTTATGAGAGAGTGATTAAGAGGTATGCATTTTGTCATATTTGAGAATTTTTCTTTACAATCTAGAAGAGCCCCACTGAAGACTTTATGTTGCGAAAGAACTAATCTTGTACTAGTTTTCTAGGTTCCTGATTGATTAATGACTATAAAAAAATATGATTTATGTCATATTGGAATGAGTCTATTTGTGAAAATTCCTTTAAAAAAAACAACGCAACTCGTTAGATAAATTTGAAACAAATAACACAACTCGTTATTTGTATTGTTATGACTTGGTTTTTTCAAGCTTTATTTATTTTTGATGATTTTGAGTTTGCAATCTTAGTTGGGATGCCTATGCTATTCGATCATGTATGATCATTAATGGAGGCGCACCAGATTGTCTTAATTTTGTTGTTCGACCGCTCCGTTATTGTAATCGCCCTTTGTGGCTAGTTTATTTTGGCCCCTTGTGGCTAATGGCTTTTTTGACTAAATTATGAATGCAATCATAGAATTTCTCAAAAAAAAAAAAAAACAAAACAAAAATAGGGATAACAATTTCCGATTTAGATGATTTAGACTATAAATAAGATGTTCTTATTTTGAAAATAAAGTATAATTATGAAGATGTACAAGTGAGAGAGCAAATATCAATATGCAGAAAAATGAGGAATTGAGTGGTGGTGGTATACTGTGGTAGGCAGCACATGTGGACCGTTCCACTGCCACCTCCATTTACAACTCTTACATTAATTTGCATTAAATAAACATCGTCACATTTAATGCAACGACTTTGACATTTTTATTTTTTCTGGCTGTCATCCTGGGACCCCCTTTAAACAATTCTAACTCTTTGTTCGACTATTTTTCTTTTCAGATGAGAATGCTCGTATATATGTGTGATGCTATAAATACGCAATTGTCTTAGATTTTTATTTACGAAAGAGAGATTCACTATTATACCCAATATATGAGTCAAAATTATATTTAAAAAATCTTATATGAAATGGACTTTAAAAATACACCCAAAGACCATTTACAATATAACAAAAAGACTTTTAACTTCTTTTAAATTATAAAACTGTCATTGATTTCTTCAAACAAACCCAACTCCAAAACCTCATAAAACTTCTTTTAAATATTTTTCTTAAGTTCACTTTAATTTTATGAGGTCAACGGATAAGTTAGTTTGTTGGATTTGAAGAAGATGTGTTGATATGTAAAATATTAATTTATGCACAAGTGCAACATCCTTTGTTGGATATTAATAAGTGGGAGAGCCAATACTACTTTACATTAAAAACACACACACACACAACACATTGAATATCCTATGTCTAATCAATTGCTTGTTCCCTCAAATTCATAAGGCCAATTATATATAATTATCTCTTTTTATAAAAATTAAAATAAAATAAAGTTGTATAAGAACATCTCCAGTAGCCTCTTCAATCACTTTGGGATGCTCGAATAGATGAGCCACATCATAAAAATCTCTGGAACATCCTTGTACAACTCAATCATCAAAACTGCAACCTTTTTCTCTCTCTTTAAGACTGGTAAGTTGACTTTGGTTCTTTAAAATATTTTATTTTATTTTTGAAAAACAAAACCTACCTTGAAAATGTTAAAAAACATGCATTTTTTTCTTTTCAGATAATAAATACAGAGACATTTTTCACATATTTTCATAATTTTCATTTTTCTCCATGATATTGCATTAATTGAATTGAAGTTGTTGGAATAAAAAATATTCAAGTAGCAAATAAATCTTCAAATTGCCACATAGGTCAATAAACTTTAATTTGAATAGTTTAATTTGCTACTACTATTGGAGATGCTCTAATTGAAAGGCATGTGTGTTGTTTTATTTCCTTATGTAAATGAAATAAATAAATAATTTTTAATTATTATATGTTGATAATAAATAACTAGCTAGTGTTTTCTTGCTTTCAGTTTTAAATAAATAAAAATGGAATGGTTATCAAACGGGACCTAAAATAAAATGGTTATCCTTTTGCTTCCATTTTAATTTTGGTTAATACTTAAAATGGTTGATTTCCATGCAATAACAATTGTGTGAAAACCTATCATAAAAATAATAGGTTAGGTTCTATTCATTTTTTAAATTTGTCTTATTTTTACCAAATCTCAATGCGGGAAGGTAATATGTCTCTATGGGACACATTATATTATACTCTAAAATGGTAATCAACAAATCAAAATTAGTAGGTAATAAGCAAAATTGAACTCGGTGGCGTGCTTCATCCAGAAGTACGTACAAAGAAAAACACATACAATTCACCTAATCGCTGCTCACACCAATTTTTTTAAAATCAGATTTTGGTGGGACCCAACCCCAACTTGGTGGCCAAATATTCCTTCGTTTTTTTTTTTTAAAAACATATTGCGATAAGGACATCTGAGAATGAGGAACATAAGATAAATAACATCCATAAATATCATGGTTTAATTTTGATTTTTTTTATTTATATCTCGTAATTTTTTTGTTCACCCCATGTTCTAGGTTCATCCCAACTTCTAATTCAAATTTTCACAATTTCTAAGAAAATCCCACTATCTTCTCAAACTACCTCTTAATATAACACCCAGCAAAAAGAAAATTAAAAACTCATCAACCTCCCACTCCACACTCAGCTATCTTGCCCCTTATCACTCTAAGATCACCTCAATCTCACATTCCTTAAAGAGATAAAAACACTGTTGTCAAACTCAATTGACGAACTACAAGTCACTATTTGCATACCGTATTTAGGGTTTGTGAAGAGAAAATGATAGTGTAGTAAGTTTCTTGGATTGAAAGAAAAGAGTAATTTGACAATAGGGTGTAGAGAAATTTGTGTTTTTATGTTTTTCTAAAACTTAATATGAAGAGTGGTGGAATGTGTGTAGTTGGATGATTTTTTTGTCTTTTTACATAATAATAAAACTTAAAAATTTAATAATTTAAGTACAGAGGTGAATAAAGAAAAGTGTGAGGGCAGCAGCATAGCATCGTGATCCTGAAGCGACCACGACACAGAAAAAAAGAGAAACATACACTTGCAAGTTGCAGTCCATCACGGCCGAAGCCGCTTAGGTGTCGAAATACCAGTGGCGAGCCCCACGATACAGTTGAGAGGGCTCCACACCCGATTCAAAACAAAAAAAAAGTTGACATCTTCGTCTACCTACCCGCTCGTTTACCTACTCCCACACGCCCAGAGTTCTCCAACCCCCTTACTTCTTTTAAATATAACGACGTTAATCTCCATTTCCTCGCCTTCAGTCACAGCTTCACCCACCCCCCACAGCCACAGCCACATGACCACGTAACCTACCTAACGGCCGCTCGCCCGTTACTTCTTTCTATAAATTCCATTCCACAAACACACAAACACCAGTTCACTTTCCCACCCATAACTCATTTTCTCTCATCCGCATTTTTCCTCTGCCCACCCACCAAATCACTCGCCACACCCACACACCCCGAAATGGACCTGCTCCTCCTGGAAAAGACCCTCCTGGGTCTCTTCATCGCCATCATCGTCGCAATCATGATTTCGAAGCTCCGTGGCAAGCGGTTCAAGCTCCCGCCCGGCCCGATACCCGTACCAATTTTCGGAAACTGGATCCAGGTCGGCGACGACCTCAACCACCGGAACCTCACCGACCTCGCGAAAAAGTTCGGCGACATCTTCCTCCTCCGCATGGGGCAGCGCAATTTGGTGGTGGTCTCGTCCCCTGACCTCGCCAAGGAGGTCCTCCACACCCAGGGCGTCGAATTCGGGTCGAGGACACGAAACGTCGTGTTCGATATTTTCACCGGGGAGGGCCAGGATATGGTGTTCACGGTCTACGGTGAGCATTGGAGGAAGATGAGGCGGATCATGACCGTCCCTTTCTTCACGAACAAGGTCGTGCAGCAGTACAGGCTCGGGTGGGAATCGGAGGCGGCGGCGGTGGTTGAGGACGTGAAGAAGCACCCGGGGTCTGCGACC